GGGAACATTCATTTTTTTTTTTTATCTAGTCGGCTCAGGGATTAGAACAAGCATCCTTTGGATTACTGGCCTAACGCTCCTGCCACCCAGCCGATTCTTTCATATCTACAAAACTGCTCAGGGGGTACGGGCTAGGCGACCGTCTGGAATACAGTGTCCATCCACATTGAAGAGTCTGGAAAGGTCATAGGGGAGAGTTTGGTTCCTCCGCTGTCAATCATGATGATAAAGGATTAGACATCAAGGCTGGGTCATAGAGATTTACAATAGACATAGAATAGCAATAGACCACAATGAGACCATAAAGGCTGGGTCATAGATAGACATATAGCAATAGACCACAATGAGACCATAAAGGCTGGGTCATAGATAGACATATAGCAATAGACCACAATTATTTGTCATTGTTAACATGTGGTCCTCTGTAGCTCAATTGGTAGAGCATGGCGCTTGTAACGCCAGGGTAGTGGGTTCGATCCCCGGGACCACCCATACGTAAAAATGTATGCACACATGACTGTAAGTCGCTTTGGATAAAAGCGTCTGCTAAATGGCATATTATTATTATTATTATTATTATTATATAGAAATATGCCTCTGTGTGTTTTGTTGTAAGCTCAAATGGACAGTGAGCAGTGACATCCAACTGACCCTCAAAACCCCCAATACTTTCTCTGACTGTTATCGTAGAATATGTTGAATTTGATTACTGTAACCAATTATTGCAAGGCACATTACGACGCAAAACCAAGCTATTAACAGAGATGAACGAGGAAGTAAGGCTTTAAGATAATGTGCTTGAGATCTGTACTAAGAGATTTCTCCCGGGCGCCCGGTCATGTCTGCTTGCTTCCACCCGTAACGTCCCTGCTCATCTCTGTCAACAAAACATCTCATTCTCTGGAAGACATCCTGATCTCTCCTCATTATTGATTACCGTACCCCCCCACCCCAATCCTTCAACATTATGGTGAATGCTCCTACTCCTGATCTCGCGTCACCTCCACCAGTGTCTGCCTCCACGGCGTCGTCATGTTTCCCCCTGGTGGAAGCGACAGGACAGGAGAGCTGCTGGGCTTGTAGAGGAGAGCCGCTCGGACAACCAATCATCCCTCTCTCTCCCTCTCCTCCCACTCTGTCATGGCGGGGGTCCAAGCTCAACTCCAGGGGCATCTGGACACAGAGTTGGGGGGGGGACACGGTTTAGATTCGTTGATGATAAAACCGTCATTGGGAATCTTAGTGGATAATGCAAGTTTGAGAGGAATGCCCTAAAAGCAAAAACTAATTTGGCTGATTCTACAGAAAGTATTAAAATGCTCTCCATTTCTGGGTCTACATGAAAAGTATGTGGTTGTATTATCTTAATAGGCCATAATAAACATTAAAATACCATATTGTCATTGTCAAGCACTTTGTCTTTATTAAATGTCAGTTTAAAGCAGTTCTCTGTACCTCGTTCTCCCTGTTTGAGCTTGTCTATGTAGAGGTCATAGCGGGCCTGTTTATGAGCGGTCCTCTCAAAGGGTTTGAAGGTCTGTCCTGCCTGTGCCTGGGGCTGCAGGTCCACTCCACACACTCAGAGCTTCCTGCTGCTGCTCTGCTGGGGTGCAAACCTGGATGGATGAATTCAACTGAGACTCAGTCATATGACGTTGCCAGGAGCAAGCAGGATATGTAGGTGAGAGCGATACAAGACTGTGCCAGGAGCAGCAGGATATTGTAGGTGAGAGCGATACAAGACGTTGCCAGGAGCCAGCAGGATATTGTAGGTGAGAGCGATACAAGACGTTGCACAAAACAAACTATCAGTGCATGTTCAGGGGTGTTCTTCACACTGCTACAAAACTTGATAGCTGCTCCAAACAACGTGATATCTGCTCAACAAACTTTACTATCTTCTACAGACTATCTCGCTCCAAACGTGATATCTGCTGCAACGTGATAGCTGATGCAACGTGATAGCTGCTACAACAAAAGCTAGAACAAACAACAAACCAAAAGCACGCAACACTTTAATCTTCTCCCCCGTGTTCTGATGGAATGTGATATCTGCTACAAACCTGATAATCCTGCTACAAGACGTGATAGTCTGCTGCAACGTGAGATCTGCTACACGTGGGATCTATGGGTGTCTGTGCGGGGTGGGCTGGGTGGTGGGGGGTGGGACGGGAGGGGCTGGATTAATGTGATAGTGGGGGCGGGGGGTGCTTCAGTGGCAGTTGGTGTGGGGTTGGGGGTGTGGTACGGTTGGGGGGTGGGAGGGTAGTTGGCTGCTACAACGGGGTTGAGTGTGTGTAGTCTCGACACTGATAGCTGCTACAACGTATAGCTGCTACAAGGGTGGGGTGGGTGTAGGGTGCGGCGGTGGGGGTCAACGTGATAAGCTGATGTATGGGATATCTGCTACAAACTGAATAGCTTGTCTACAACTGATAGCTGCAGGACACAACACAGAAAAGACGCAACTCGAGTACCAGGATACAGCCCTTATACCGTGGTATATTGGCCATATATCCCAACCCCGGCCGAGGTGGCTAATTGCTAATATAAACTGGGTAACCCACATAATTAGAACAGTAAAAAGAAATGATTTTGTCATACCCATGGTATAAACCACGGCTGTCAGACAAGGGGTGCGTCGGTCGGGGGTGTGGGTCGGGTTCGAACCACCCAGGTTATAAACACTGGACGACAATCAACCGTGTGGGGGTGGGTCCCAGGTAGTTGGCTTCGTCTCGGGGTGGGTCAGACAGACAGACAATATATTAGGTGTAAACCTGCTAGACAGGGCCCTTCGGGCGGAGGCGGTGGCTGCTTGCAGCTGCCACCGGGGGGAGGGCGTGTGTGGGGGTGGTGGGCATGGGGGGGGGTTGGGTTGTGGGTGGGTGGGGGGGGGGGGTGGCTGCAGCCACCACATCTGCCTCTGCCCTCCCAGGGATGTGCGTCTGGGTGTGGTGGTGGGGAGGCGTGGCAGTGGGTTGTGGGTCGGGGCCTGAGGGGGTGGTCTCGGAGAGGGCTCCGTAGGCTGGATTTGAGTCCTCTCTTCTGTCCTCAACCTTCAGCAGGTCAAACAACAGAGCGGGGCCTGGAGGGAGAAGACCTGGAGCGTGGAGACCAGAGAGGTAGTACCTGTAGAAGAACGCTGCGAGGAACAGGAGGAAGGACAGGTGCAGGGAGAGGACAGGTCAGGAGGAGGACAGGTCAGAGAGTAGGACAGGTCAGGTAGGATGACATGTCCAGGGAGGAGGACAGGTCAGAGAGAGGACGGTCAGGGAGTAGGACGGTCATGGAGGAGGATCAGGTCAGGGAGGATGACATGTCTGGAGGAGGACAGGGCAGGGAGGATGACAAGGGTTGTTGTGGTGGGTGCGGTCCGTGGGGCGGGTTCGTGTGTCAGGGTGGGTGGGGCATTTGGGAGGGGAGGACAGTGCAGGTAGGAGGCGGGCCGGGAGGAGGACAGGGAGGAGACAGGGCAGGGAGGAGGACAGGGCGAGGAACAACAGTGCATGGGGAGGAGGACAGGGCATGTGCTGGTGAATGACAAAGGGAGAGGACCTGGCCTCATTGTCTGAGGACAGGGCAAAAATAAATGGTGATTAACATTTCCAAACCACACATTGAGTAGTCCACTTTCATCTATTAGGACAGGGTCCGATATGAGTGACAGTGTAAAAATTTATTAGTGACATTTGGCCATGGATGAGGACAGGGAAACAATACTAGGTTTTAGAGACAAAAAACATCCCATTGATACAAGAGGAGATACCCCAATATCGCTTGACTTTCAAATCCCGGTAGGTCTTTTCAATGTTCAAGACACTTGTAGGAAAATGACAGGGAGCCAGAGCCCGGACGGGGGATCATTAGACTAAAGGAGTTGGGAAAGACACTAGCACCATGGTTGATACAAGACAAGATGGTCCACCAGCAATACAAACATCCTTGTTGTGTCAAGGGGTTTTGGAAGACTCAATCTCGAAATAGCCTGTGACCTTGCAGTGCCGTCTCCCCCCGCAGCTCCCTCCTTGGGCATAGTCCGCTGGTGCGTCCTCCCTTAGAGGCTCTTCCTGGGCCATGTGTCCTCGGACGTCAGCGAGCCGGGGCGTCCTCTTAGCGGGCCTCTTTCCTGGGCCATGTGTCCTCGGGTACGTCAGCTGGGCCTGGTGGCGTCCTCCCTTAGATGGCTCTTCCCTGGCCATGTTTCCTCGGGACGTCAGCAGTGCCTGGGCTAAACCATGGGGCTGAACGCTGGACATGTCCACTACACTGACGGGCAGTAGTGGACCGGCCTGAAGTCTCTGGGCAGGCCGGGAGTAGGGAAGATCGTGAGGAGAGAGAGAGAGGGAGGAGAGAGGTGGGGTGGAGAAGAGAGAGGGAAGGGGAGGAGAGAGGAGATGGAGAGAATGGGGAGGTAGAGAAGAGAGAGAAGAATGAGAGAGAGAAAGGCCCGTTGATTTATGCTATAAATAATTCGTTATTATTCATTTACATGATCACTCTTCCTGATCCCCTATCTAGAGAGAGTCACTACGTTTTGGTCTCCATCTTGTCGTAGCCCATGGTTAATCCTTCTAGTATTTTACCCAGATGAGCAGACGTCTTACTGTGGACTGAAAGAACAAAGTCATTTAAACAGCATTAGATTAACAATATCCATATCTTCATTGATGTGATCTACTTTTGGTTCATGGGGCAATAGACTTTTTCCACTAATATAGGCACAGGAGAGAGAGACAGAGAGTTCCCTTACACATATACCCCAAACAAGTGTCTTCACAGAACTTTCCATAGTGCATGACAAAGCAACTCGGCGGGCCTGGAGATCTCTATTGGAAGAGCTTTTTATCCAGAATAGGTTTTTAAAAAATCTGTGTCCTGGGGAACTGGCCAGGCTATTCTATCTCCTGCAACTCATTTGTTCTCACTCACCTTTCACACCTTTTTCTTCTTCCTGTTGTAGCTGTTGGGTTGGGGGGGGCGGTCCCCATCCTTACAAGTCAGTCCGCATGCCTCCTCCCACCTCCCAGCACCCCGACGTCGTAGTGAGACATGGTGTCTCTGTGGTGATTTTCCACATCATCATTCGGTCCCTTGCAAAAAAAAACCCACACCAACCCCTGGGTTGGTCAACGGGTCAAGCAAGCACAACAAATATCCCGAGCACCTGCAACTAGTAACAATAACCAAAAACAATAACGAGAGCTGACAACAGTCAGACAGTTTTTTCCCTACTATTAGAGCTGACAGTCAGACAGTGTTTTCCCCTACTATTAGAGCTGACACAGTCAGACAGTGTTTCCCCCCCCTACTATATCGCTGACAACAGTCAACATATTGTTGTCCCTACTATTAGAGCTGACAAACAGTCAGACATGTTTTCCCCACCCCCCCCCTACTCTTGAGCTGACAACACCAGACATGTTTTTCCCTAACTATTAGAGCTGACAACAGTCAGACAGTGTTTTCCCTACTATTAGAGCTGACACACAGTCAGACAGTGTTTTCCATACTAGTAAGCTGACACAACAGTCAGACAGTGTTTTCCCTACTATGAGAGCTGACCAACAGTCAGACCGTGTTTTCCCTACTATAGAGCTGACAACAGTCAGACGTGGTTTTCCCTACTATTAGAAGCTGAACTTCGACAGTGTTTCCCTACTATTAGAGCTGGACAACAGTCAGACATAGTATTTTCCTCCCTACTATTAGAGCTGACATACAGTCAGACAGTGTTTTTCACCTCATTATAGCTGACAGTCAGACAGTGTTTCCTTTTTTCCCTACTATTAGAGCTGACCAACATGTCAGACAGTGTTTTCCCTACTAGTAGAGTGAAACAACACAGTCAGACAGTGTTTTCCCTCTACTAGAGCTGACAACGTCAGACATGTTTTCCCCTACTATTAGAGCTGCAACAGTCATACAGTGGTTTTTTCCCTACTATTAAGCTTGCAGTCAGACAGTGTTTTCCCATACTAATTAGAGCTGACAACAGTCCGACAGTGGTTTCCTACTATTTAGAGCTGACAACAGTCAACATGTGTTTTCCATACTATGAGAGCTGACAACAGTCAGACCATTGTTTTCCCTACTATTGAGCTGACCCAACGTCAGCCGTGTTTTCCCTACTATTAGAGCGCCACAGTCCAGACGTGTTTTCCCATACTATTAGAGCTGACAACAGTCAGACAGTGTTTTCCCTACTATTAGAGCTGACACAAAGAAACAGTCAGACAGGTGTTCCCTACTATTAGAGCTGACACAACAGTCAGACAGTGTTTTTCCCTACTAGTAGAGCTGAACAAACAGTCGACAGTGTTTTCCCTAACTATTAGAAGCTGACACAAACGTCACAGTGGTTTCCCTACTTTAGAGCTGACAAACAGTCAGACATGTTTCCTACTATTAGAGCTACAACAGTCAACAGTTTTTCCCTACTATTAAGCTGACAAAGTCAGACAGTGGTTCCCTACTATTAGAGCTGACAGTCGACGTGGTTTCCCTACTATTAGAGCGGACAACAGTCAGACAGTTGTTTTCCTACTAAGAGCTGACAACAAAACTGTAGACAAAGTGTTTGTCCCTACTATTGAGCTGACAACCAGTCAACATTGTTTTTTTTTTTTTTTTTGTCCTACTATTAGAGAGACAACAGTCATACAGTGTTTTTCCCTACATTAAGCAGACAACAGTCAGACAGTGTTTTTTCCCCCCCTACTATTAGAGCTGACACACACGTCAGACAGTGTTTTTCCCTACTATTATAGCTGACAACAAACATTCAACAGTGTTTTCCCTACTATTAGCTGACACAAACAGTGTCGACAGTGTTTTGCCCTACTATTAAGCTGACACAAACATCAGACAGTGTTTTCCTCCGCTACTATTAGAGCTGACAACAGTCAACAGTGTTTTCCCTACTATTAAGCTGACAAACAGTCAGACAGTGTTTCCCTACCTATTAGAGCGGACATCAACAGTGTTTTTCCCTACTATTAAGAGCTGACAAACATCAGACATGTGTTCCCTACTATTAAGCTGGAAAACATTCAGACAGTGTTTTCCCTACATTATAGCTGACAACAGCAGAACGTGTTTTTCCCACTATTAGAGCTGACAACATCAGACAGGTTTCCCTACTATTAACTGACACAAACAGTCAACATGTTTTCCCTACTATTAAGCTGACACAATCAGACAGTGTTTTTCCCTACTATTAGCGCCTGACAACATTCATACAGAGTGTTTTCCCTACTTTAGAGCGACAACAGTCAACTGTGTTTGCCCTACTATTAGAGCTGAAACACGTCAGACATGTTTTCCTACTATTAAGGCTGACACAGTCGACAGTGTTTTCCTTCCCCTACTTTTAGAAACAACAGTCAGTGGACAGTGTTTTCCCTAATACTAGAGCTGACACAGCCACAGTGTTTTCCCTACTATTAGAGCTGACAACAGTCAGACAGTGTTTTCCCTACTATTATAGAAGACAACAGTCGAACGTGTTTTCCCTACTATTAAGCAGACAACAGTCAAGACCGTGTTTTCCCACATTAGAGCTGACAACGGTCAGACAGTGTTTTTCCCTACTATTATAGCTGACAACGTCACAGTGTTTTCCCTACTATTAGCTGACCAACAGTCTACAGTGTTTCCCCACTATTAGAGAAGACACAGCCAGCAAGTGTTGTTCCCTACTATTAAGCTGACAAAACCAACAGTGTTTCTTCCCTACTATTGAGGCTGACAACAGTCGACAGTGTTTTCCCCCCCTACTATTAAGCAAACAACAGTCAGACAGTGTTTTCCCGACTATTATAGAGACAACAGTCAGAACCAGTGTTTTCCCTACTATTAGAGCTGACAACAGTCGACAGTGTTTTCTTCCCTACTATTGAGCTGACAACATCGACCGTGTTTTTCCCTACTATTAGAGCCGACCCCATCGGACAGGGTTTTCCCTACTATTAGAGCTGACAACAGTCCAGCCAGTGTTTTCCCTACTATTAGAGTTGACAAACAAGTCGACAGTGGTTTTTTTTTTTTTTTCCCTACTATTAGAGCTGACACAACATTCAGACATGGTTTTCCTATATTGAGCTGACACATCGCAGTGTTTTCCCTACTATTAAAACTGACAACATTCAGACCGTGTTTTCCCTACATTAGACTGGACAAACATCAGAACAGTGGTTTTCCTACTATTATAGCTGACAACAGTCAACAGTGTTTCCCCCTACTATTAGAGCTGACAACAGTCAGACAGTGTTTTCCCTACTATTAAACTGACAACAGTCAGACAGTGTTTTCCCTACTATAAGCTACAACAGTCCGACAGTGTTTTCCCTACTATTAGAGCTGACAACAGGCCTACAGTGTTTTCCCTACGATTAGGCGACACATTCAGACAGTGTTTTCCCCTACTATGAGAGCTGACAAACAGTCAGACAGTTGTTGTCTCCCTACTATTAGAGCTGACAACAGATCAGACAGCTGTTTTCCCTACTATTAGAGTGACCAACAGTCAGACAGTGTTTTCCCTACTATTTAGAGCTACAACATTCCTACAGTGTTTTCCCTACTATTAGAGCTGAACAGTCAGAACATGTTTTCCCTACTATTATATCTGCAACAGCCAGCCCGTTGTTTTTCCTACTATTAAAGGCTGAAACAGTCAGACATGTTTTCCCTACCTATTTAGAGCTGACACAGAGTCAGACAGTGTTTTCCCTACTATTAGAGCTGACAACAGTCAGACAGTGTTTTCCCTACTATTAGTGCTGCCACAGTCCAGACAGTGGTTTTCCCTACTATTAGAGCTTACACAGTCAGACATTGTTTTCCCTACTATTATTAGCTGACACACATCCGACGTGTTTTCCTCCCTCTATTCAGAGCTACACAACAGTCAGACAGTGTTTTCCCTACTAAGTACTATTAGAGTTGACAACAAGCAGACAGTGTTTTCCCTACTATAGAGCTGACAACAGTCAGAACCAGTTTTCCCCTATTATTAGAGCTGCAACAGTCAGACAGTTGTTTTCCCTACTATTAGAGAGCTGACAACAGTCATAACAGTGGTTTTCCCACTATAGTGCTGGACAACAGTCAGCCATGTGTTTTCCCTCTATTATAGCTACAACAGTCAGACAGTGTTTTCCCTACTATTAGATTAAGCTGACAACAGTCGACAGTTTTTTCCCTACTATTAGAGCTACACCTACAACATCAGACATGTTTTCCTACTATTAGAGTTTGACAGCAACAGTCAGACAGTGTTGTCCCTACTATTAGAGTTGACCAACAGTCAGACAAAGTAATTTTCCTACTATTAGAGCTTGACAAAACAGTCACAGTGTTTTCCCTACTATTGAGCTGACAGTCCATACATTGTTTTCCCTAACTATTGAGGCTGACAACAGCCAGACAGTGTTTTTTCCCTACTATTAGAGCTACAAGCAGCCAGACAGTGTTTTCCCTACTATTAGAGCTGACAACAGCCAAACAGTGTTTTTCCCTACTATTATAGCTGACACATCCAGACTGTTTTCCCTACTATTAGAGCTGCTGACAACGTCAGACATTGTTTTCCCTACTATTAGAGCTGACAACAGTCAGAACAGTGTTTTCTCCTACTATTTTAGAGCCTGACAACCAGTCAGACAGTGTTTTTCCCTACTATAGAGCTGACAACATCAGACAGTGTTTTCCCTACTCTTAAGCTGAACAGTAGACCTGTTTTTTCCCTACTATTAGAGCTGACAACAGTCAGACAGTTTTTTCCTACTATTAGAGCTGACACAGTCAGACAGTGGTTTTCCCTCTATAGAGCAGACAACAGTCAGACCGTGTTTTCTTCCCTCACTATTGAGCTGACAACATCAGACAGTGTTTTCCCTACTATTAGAGCTGACAACAGTCAGACAATGTTTCCCTCTATTGAGCTGACAACCGTCACAACATGTTTTCCCTACTATTAGAGCTGACAACAGTCAGACAGTGTTTTCCCTACTATTAGAGTTGAACAACCAGTCACCAGTGTGTTCCCTACATGAGCTGACAACAGTCAGACAGTTGTTTCCCTACTATTGAGAGCTGACAACGTCACAGTGTTTTCCTCACTATTAGACTACAACTCGCAGTCTTTCCCTACTAGTAGAGCTGACAACAGTCGACCAGTGTTTTTCCTACTATAAGGCTGACAACAGTCAGACGTGTTTTCCTTACTATTAGAGCTGACACCAGTCCCGACAGTGTTTTTCCCTACTATTAGAGCTGACAACAGTCATACATGTTTTCCTACTATTAGAGCTGACAACAGTCCCAGACAGTGTTTTCCTACTATAGAGCTGACAACAGTCAGACAGTGGTTTTCCCTACTATTAATTTACAAACAGTCAGCGTGTTTTCCCTACTATTCGAAGCTGACACAGACAGTCAACAGTGTTTTTCCACCCTCACTATAGAGCTGACACAACATCAGACAGTGTTTTCCCTACTAATTAGAGTTGACACACCGACAGTGTTGTTCCCTACGATTAGAGCTGACAACACAGTCAGACCGTGTTTTTCTTCCTTCCCCTATTATTAGAGCTACAACATCAGACAGTGTTTCCCTACTATTAAGCGACACAGTCAACAGTGTTTTCCCTAGTATTAGTGCTGACAACATCAGCCAGTGGTTTCCCCTACTATTGAGCTGACAACTCCAGACAGTGTTTTTCCCTACTAGTAGAGCTGACAACAGTCCAGACCGTGTTTTTCCTCTACTATTCGAGCTGACACAACATTCAAGACAGGTTTCCTACTATTAGAGTTTGACACCCATCAGACAGTGTTTCCTACTATTAGAGTTGCAACAGTCAGACAATTATTTTCCCTACTATTAGAGCTGACAACAGTCAACAGTGTTTTTCCCTACTATTAGAGCTGACAGCAGACAGTGTTTTCCCTACTATTAGAGCTGACACGCCAGACAGTGTTTTCCCTACTATTAAGCTGACAACCGCCAAGACAGTGTTTTCCTACATTTAGGCTGACAACACCGACAGTGTTTTCCCTACTATTAGAGCTGAACAACAGCCAGACAGTTGGTTTTCCCTACTTTAGAGCGACAACAGTCCAGACAGTGTTTCCCCTACTATTAGAGCTGACAAACATCCAGACGTGTTTTTCCCTACTATTAGAGCTGACAACAGCAGACAGTGTTTTTCCCTACTATTAGAGCTTACAACAGTCCAGAGACAGTGTTTTCCCTACTTTAAGCTGACAACATCAGACAAGTGTTTTCCCCTACTATTAGTAGCTGACAACCGTCATACAGTGTTTTCCTACATTAGAGCGACAACAGTCAGACATGTGTTTTTTCTCCTACCTATAGAGTCAGACAACAGTCAGACAGTGTTTTCCTTCCCTACTATTAGAGCTGCCAACAGTCCGACAGTGTTTTCCCTATATATAGCTGACAACAGTCAGACAGTGTTTTTCCTTCCTCCCTACTATTAGAGCTACAACAGTCAGACAGTGTTTCCCTACTATTTAAAGAGCTGACAACAGTCAGAACAAGTGTTTTCCTCTACTATTAGAGCTGACAACATCAGACAGGTGTTTTTCCCTACTATTAGAGCTGGAAACAGTCACAGTGTTTTCCCTACATTAGAGTTGACAACAGTCAGACGTGTTTTCCCTACTATTAGAGCTGACAAAGTCAGTACAGTGTTTCCCTACATGTAGCTGACAAACAGTCAGACAGTGTTTTTTCCCTACTCTAGAGCTGACACAAGTCAGACAGTGTTTTTCCCAACTAGTCGAGTTGACAATTAGACTGTTTTCCCTACTATTAGAGCGACACAACATCATGACAGTGTTCCCTACTATTAGAGCTGAGACAACAGTCAGACAGTTGTTTTCCCTACTATTGAGAGCTGACAACAGTCAGACAGTGTTTCCCTACTCTTAGAGTGACAACAGTCCGACGTGTTTTCCCTACTAGTAGAGCTGACAAACAGTCAGACATTTGTTTTCCCTACTATTAATCTGACAACAGTCATTACAGTGTGTTCCTCCTACTATTAGAGCTGACAACAGTCCGACCAGTGGGTTTTCCCCTACTATTAGAGCTGAACAACAGTCAGCCAGTGTTTTTCCTCCCTACTATTAGAGCTGACAACATCAACAAGGGTTTCCCCTACTATTAGAGCTGACACAGTCAGACCGGTGTTTTCCCTACTATTAGATGCCTGACCACCAGTCAAGTGTTTTCCATACTATTACAAGCAGATTACAAGTCACAGACCTGAACTACTAAACAAACAATGAGAGACACCCGTATGCCTACCTGTCCTGCCACTCCTCCCCTGCGTCTCTGTCCCTTCTTGTCCTCTCCAAACAGGTTGGTGGTCCTGTCTGAGTCCATGGTGAACAGGTTGATGTTTCCCGCCCCGGGACCTCCCCTGAGGGCCGCCAGGGGGTTCAGACCCCGGTACCCCAGACCATGGAGGTCCACTTTAGGGGTGAAGTCTATAGGGGTCACGTCTTTAGGAGCGAAGGTCACATTCTCAGGGACGAACTCATCATCATCCTCCTCGTCCTGCGGTTTAACAGTAGGGAATGGATCAATCAATCACATTTATCTTTGCAATGATGGGTAGGGGGTAAATGTTAAGTCGCCTATTTAGGGGACATTCGTTATAATTTGATTGTTTTATCAAGGTATATCAAGGTAATTAGCTTATTAATAAAATTCTGTAAGGCCAATTCGCTTCGTGATTGTTCTGGCTGACAGCCCCCCGGCTTCCCTGCTTCAATTCAGCTGGCCTCGGGTGACATATCCACAGCCATTGGAGGCTCGGGGGGGTCCCGCCTTAACACTAATTTGCTGATCGGACTGTTAATATCGCTGCTAAGCTGAGAGTCTACTGCAGCGATAGGAAGTAGTTCCCTTTGTTCTACAACACACGTCCATTCATATCGAATGGAAAGGTAAAAAAACATGGGAAATCACTGAGGGACAAAACTTTATATTAGATTAAAGCTGAGACTGATGAATCCGTAGAGTGGCCAGCCAACTCTGTGTTACGTTCACAGGGGAAGAGACAGCAACGAATTAAAGCAGTGCACCGGGAAATCAGTCGGCTTTTCCCTGACCGCTAGTTATATAGACAGTTACAACATTAATAATGCATCTGAAACCTTCTAGCATGTTCTAGCTTGTTATATCTTCTTATAGTGGTGGTCCTGTATGGCTCAGTTGGTTGGTTGTGCATGGTGCTTGCACCGCCAGGGTTGTCGGTTTGATTCCCAGGGCCACCTGGCATATATTATTATTATAATATGATTATTCTTCTAGCATGTCAGTTGTAAAGTTGATTGTGACGTAGATCATTAACCAAAAAATGCAAGCCGTGTTCCCCCATTTTTTCACGAATAGGTTGTTCATAGCAAATTACATTTGAAAATGAAAATCTAGGATGTAGTGTTTTCATACTATTTACTATAGCAGCGCATACTAGTGCAAAAAGTCCATACAAATCATAGATAAATAATTAATCAAATAAATACGAGCTTTCTAACAGAATAGGGCATTAGCAGGTTCTGTTCATGGCCCTCTCATGAAGATATGTTTTATACAGCCATCCACATAACATTAAACGTTCTTAATGTAGAGCTGGATTCTAGTTTTAAGAGCAGATGCGAGACAATATGAATATTCTGAGGAATGGCTACCCGTGATTCTGATGAACCGTTGGGAGGCAAGGCAGAGCCGAACACCCTTGTTGCAGGATCTGGAATAGAGAAAGAACCATTTTAGAATGATTTTATTCACAAGTAAAATCCTCCTTTGTGAGAGAGTAGAGTCCGTCTGTACAGTCTATAACACGTATTAGCCTACAACATTAACTGCTTTGAAAAGTCGGTGGCAAGTGCAACCCACCTGCTTCCTGCTTGCACAGTCTCCTCTTCACCCTCGGCCCAACCCCCTGGCCATCCTTCCAGCCCATCCTCCTCAGTAGCTCCACCCCCATGGAGGACCTGCCAGGTGTAAACAAGGTCAGTCAGCCTAGCAGCAATATGAGGCAAACCGCAACTACATTTAGCTAGTTGAACACCAGGGGCTGTGTCAAAGATCTAGGATCAGTTAGGCCAATTGAGATCATAATGAATCATTACCATGGACAGAGACGACCTGATTCTAGAAAATCACTCCTACCGTTAAGACACTTGATACATACGGGGCCCCAGAGTGACCACATCAAGTCTGTTCAGTTACCTAGCCGGAGCCACCAGGTCTTCCAGGACAGTGTCCCCGGGGATAGGGGCTGAAAGAGAGGTGATGGCTCTGGCCTTGTCCCCGATCAGATCCTTCCTGCCTGAGGCAAAGTCAGCCGTAGTGATGATCTGTCTGGGGGCGATGCCGTGCTCACCCAGGTCCTGAGGAGATAAAAACACGTGTTACATCCCCCATGTTGTACAATCATGTTGGTCCAGGAGGGAAATGGTTGCTGTCCTGAGAATGTTCTTCTTTACATTTACGTCATTTAGCAGACGCTCTTATCCAGAGCGACTTACATTATTCTTTTTTTTCTTTTTTCATACTGGCCCCCCATGGGAATCGAACCCACAACCCTGGCGTTGCAAACGCCATGCTCTACCAACTGAGCTACCTCCCTGCCAGCCATTCCCTCCCCTACCCTGGACGACGCTGGGCCAATTGTGCGCCGCCCCATTGGTCTCCCGGTTGCGGCCGGCTACAGCAGAGCCTGGATTCGAACCAGGATCTCTAGTGGCACAGCTAGCACTGCGATGATGTTTTTTTTGTTGGATGCCTTTATTCCTCCCCTTCTTTCCCCATCCTTCCCTCCCCCCCTCCCCCGGCCCCCGCCCTCTCCTCCTTTCTCCTCCCCCCTTCTCCCCACCCCCTCTCGCTCCTTCCCGCCGGTCTTCCCCTCCCATTTCTCCCCAACCGTTTCCCCCCCCATTCGCCTTCTCACCTTCTCGTCCATCCCTTCCCTTCTTCCCCGTCTTCCCCTCCCGATGCTTCCACCCCTCCTCCCCCCCTCCGTCTTCCCCGTTCCCCCCCCCTCCGTCTCTTCCCCCCCTCTCCTCCCCCGCTTCGTTCCCTCTTCCCCGTCCTTTTCCCCCCGCCCCACTTTTCTCTCCCCTCCCCCCTCCCTTTCCCCCGTTCTCCCCCTCCCCCCCCGTCCTCCCTCCCATCCCCTGTCCCTCCGTCTCCTCCTCGTTTCCTCCCACCCCCCCCTCTCGCCCCCCCCGCTCCTCCCCCCCCCCCCCCTCTCCGGCCCCCTATTTCCCACCTCCTCCCCCGCCCCCTGCGGCCACCTCGTTTTGGTCTCAAGCCTATCTCCTGGTGTTACTTTCAGATTCCAGGTACCTCCTCGCCACCTGTGGTCTCTCCTATCCTCCTTCCATGTTTTCCCTTTCAGATTCCAGGTACCGCTCCTCAACCACGCTGTGGTCTCTAGATATATAATGTATTCTCTTTCAGATTCCAGGTACCTCCTCATCCACGCTGGTGTCTTAGAATTATAAGTGTGCTCTTCAGATTCTGAGGACCTCCTCATCCACCCCGCCCTGTGGTCTCTAAGAAATAATATAATGTCTTTCTCTTTCAGATTCCAGGGACCGCTCCTCATCCACGCTGTGTCTCTAGAATATTATGTGTTCCGTTTCATATTCCAGGGACCTCCTCATCCACGCTGTGGTCTCTCAGAATATATATGTTGTTCTCTTTCCGATTTCCAGGTACCTCCTCATGTTGATGAGATAATATGAGGATGTTTTGCAGCTACCCTCCTCATCCATGAAGTCCTCCGGCCGGCTTCTGTCTGCCTTCTTTCTTTCTGCTGTCCTGGATGGATACAAATGTGGATGGGGTCCACCCTGCAATGGGATCAAGCATGATTCACTGACAGTTTTACATTAGCAATATTTTTGGGGGGGATATTTTATATCGATATTTTACTCCAATTAATCAATTGGTAAAAAAAAAAAAAAAAATGCTACCTCAAAAAGGTAGGTAGCGTTAGCTAGCACTACTCCAAATCCAGTCATTTTTTCAAGGCGACAGTTTGTTCTTCCATCTTCGTTTAAATAGTGACGCCCAACATTATTTCAGCACTTAGATTCCATGAACTGATGAAAACTCTTGTCTCGGGCTCTCTCTCGTCTCTCTACAGCCTACGTATAGTGAGCAATACGTTGG